CACGTTTCTTGTAGATGAACTGCGCCTGGTGAAGGATGGCAATTACGGCTCTGAGAATCCGGCCGTGCATGGAGGCTGGGATGGCATGGTGGGCGAGCTGGTGCGCAAGGTGAGACTTGATATCTATATATATATGTATATATGACTGACAGCTAGCTATAACTGCAACTCTCTCTCTCTCTCTCTCCCTTTCTCTTTCACTCTCTCATTTGAGCAGGAAGCGGATATTGCCATTGCCGCCATGACGATTACCGCTGAACGCGAACGTGTCATCGACTTTAGCAAGCCGTTCATGTCGCTGGGCATTTCCATTATGATTAAGAAGCCAGTGAAGCAAACGCCCGGCGTGTTCAGCTTCATGAATCCTTTATCACAGGAAATTTGGGTGCGTATATGTAGCTCTTTCTATCTATATGTATATGTATATATATATATATATACTACTAGTCTCTGTGTAGTAGCAGCTCGATTAGAAACTTTACGTTCCAGCCACTGGCTTGAACGCAACTTTGACTAAGGCTCATGCCAGAGCTGCTGCTGCAAGATGTCATAGAGTCGTCCTCGTCCCCTTTGTCTAGTCGTGTCCTAGTTACAGCCTAGACTCTTGGTTGCCAGCACTTATACATACATATTTCGACTTGTTTTGCAACTGAAATGGGTTTGCTCAAGGAATTTTACTTAAACAATTTCGTGACTTCGTATTTGAGCGAAACTTTCTGCCAACTCTTATATTTCTCAAGTATATTAGAAAAGAGAAAAATTTATTTAGTTTGTTATTCCATGGAAGTTTATCAATATTATTGATGGCTTGTATTACTGGATCTGTCTGTTTGTGTTTCATGTATCTACTGATCAGAGCTTAAGTTCGTCTTATATGCTTTAAAGAGTTTTTTATTGTAGGACGAAATGTGCGTGTTTATTATATTTAAGAATTACGTCGGACAAAAGCTGGTTGTTATGAAACCTCTTATATTATATTAGTAGCTGCTGGAATTCGTATTGATATAAATTCTTAGGTCTAAGCTGACAAAAAGCTGAATGACAGAAAAAAGTCTTATACTATCTTATATTAGCAGTTCACTCAACTCGGATTGATCAAATTGCAATGCACAGCTGTCAAAAGCTCACTGCTATGCGACATTCCTGCCAGCCTTACCTTCCACTTGCAGCGCAACTCTAAGCTGATTGACAGACAAAAGCTGCTTGATATAGAAGATTGTTACGAAAAGTCCTCTTAAGCAGCAGCAATTGCGATTAATTCCGGCATATAAGCCAAATAACTGTTAACTGTATCCACGTCTAGACGTGCGGCGCATTGTTTTTCTGATTTTTTTTTTTTTTCAGACGTTTGGTAACGAGTCAAAATAATGCAAAATTTTGCGCTGCATACAAATGAGTAAAGTTTTTATAATTTTTTTGTTTTTGTATTGTTTTTCCGGGCTTCCTTTTTTATTTTTTAATAAAAAAAAATATATATATATAAGGAATTCTTTCATTTTCGTTAGCGCCATTGCCTGGTAATTTTTACGCTGCCAACCCTCCATTTATTTTTTGTTCATCTTGTTTTATTTCTGTGCGAAACTTTGCGGGCACAACTTGGACTTTCTGTATATTTATTTCCTTTGGTTTTCGGCTTCAACTTGCTACCTCGTAAGCTCCCGAAAAGTTTAATAGAGTAAACGACAAACTTTTTTTTTTTACTCTCTTTTCTCTTTCTCTCTGTGCTGTTCGCCTTTGTTGTTGTTTTTGTTGCTTTATTTTATTTTATTTTGAAACATTTATATAAACAACAACTACAAGCGCTGCGAGCAAAAATTACGTCGACGTCAAGTATTAAATTTGGCGCTAGTCCAAAAGTTTTTGGCCGCTCGACGCTTGTTTAAATAATGGCCAGCCATCAGAATTATATGAGCATTTAGCTGATGATGTTGATATAGGAGTCGGCGAAAAGGCACAAGAGTTGCGAAGGACTCGCAGGACACTCGCCAGAGCCGAATTGGCTCTTTAATCTAATGACAGCGATAACTCAATTGAGCTGAAATATAGGATGCAAAATTAAGGCTAAAGAGTTCATAAATATGCCTAATATACATGCTATATTAAAATTGAGATTTAAGTGGAAATTATGTATAGCAAGGGAAGCGAGGGCTAGATAGGGATTGTAAGGAATATTATGCTGTTAATCAGCGTCTGTTAATCCACTGAATCAACCAAGAGCTGCAATTCTTCTCTTTCCACTCGTCAACTGTTTAATACCCGGCGTTGCTTGCTTAAATGTTATATTGCTCAACTTTTTCTCAAGTTTAGGTTCCCTTCCTAGATAATAAACCTTCGGCATCATAACAAATTATCAACATTTTTAGTTATATGATTCATAAAAAAAAGTACGCGTCTACATATCATTTTCTGAGCCCCACAGTCAGCGACTGCTAAGCCCCAAAAATGTTGTAGCTTAAAACCGTTTGCCGCTAATGTTGACAGCGCAGTAAATCCTTTATATAATAAACCATAGAGAAAAACGCGTACGAAATTAAACGCTTATAAAAGTCAGTGAACAGCGCTGTGAAATCTTACGCTTATTTTGACATGAGCTCAAAGAATTACAAATGCAAATTGCTTCGAGCGCAAGGCAAAGAGCAAAAGGTGGCCCCAAAAAAAGGCTAAAAAGCTCGACGAGGCCTGCTGAAGTTAGCAAGCTAATATAAAAGACTTGAACAAAAAAAATTTATCATAAATTAAATGACGCATTGTACACATACACATATGAGCAGGCCTACAGTCTCGATGGGTGTGTGTGTGTGTGTGTGTGTGTGGGCGTGTGTGTTCATAAAAGCAACTATGACGACGCCGTCGACGACACCTTTTTCTTTTTTGCCAGCGCGCACAAAAGGCGCGCCCCGTGGCAGCCATTGAAGCATTGATAACGACAACGACAACAATATGAGCAACAACAACAACAACAACAACAGCCACGGTAACGGTAACGGTAACGGCAACGGCAACGGCAACAGTTGGCAGTCAGACAGGCAAACATGGGGGCACAGCTGGCAGGCTGTCGAAGTCCTCGACAGGAGCCAACGGCACCTGGCTTTGTTTATATACCCTGTAACCCATTTGGAATGTGGAAAAAAAGTAGAATATATTACACACACATACACACTTCCATGCATTCATATATGTATGTATGAGTAGGTCTTCTTAACAAATTAATTCTGTTTTGTTTCTTTTCTTTTTTAACATAAAACTTTTGACGCTTGTCTAAATATATTTACAAATTCCTAAGAATTATTAACAGTCAAGTTTATTTTACATACCTATGTTAAATTTCCGTGGAATAGAATTCAAGGACGAGGCAAATTGTTTGGCTATAGCTGTTGCTTTTTTATCAGGACTTTTTAAAGCTTATCGCATTTTCCTAGAAATCGAAAAGAAAATAAAAGCAAAATTCGTAACGAATTTGATACATACTTGATCAATATCAAGAATCCACTTGTCATAGGCAAACAGAGAATTCCAATTTATATGCTGTTTGTATTGTTTGATCTACTTTAACCTCATTCTTAAGCTATGATCAAGAGATATGCAAGTTGTGGAGCACATTTATTATAAATCTCAGGAATTACAAAACCTGACATATTTGTTACATATTCGCTTGCATAGATAATCACAAATATATCAAATTAAGTTTTCAGATTCTTCAAAGAAATATAAAAAATACTAAAAAATACTAAAAAATACTAGTAATATGTAAATAATAGAATATACTAGCAAATGAAAGGTAATTCCTAAAAGCTGAGGCAATTGATATTGATGTAAAAATATATACAAAAATATATACAAAATTTAAATAGGAAATATGTCAAATATTATTTTTGCAATATAAAATATTTACAATGCAGGGCATCTGCTAGTCAGGCAAGTCCAACATCTGTGCTACCTTGTTTATACGCTTGCTACTGCATCCCATTAAGCTAATGTTCAGCCATTTTCTAGGGAAGTCATTGCCGCTTCCGCTTCAATTAGTAAAGAAAATTGAATGAAAAATTCTCGTTTTTTTCGCCCAAATTATACAGTAGTAGCTAAAAGTCTGCATGGGGCAGGCAGGCCATGCTGGCAGCCTGGCAGGCAGGCAGGCAAAAGCAGGAAGACCAGGTGTCTGCAGCTGAAGCAGAAGTAAAAGCTATCATATCTCCATCTGCATCTCACACGCTTCTCTCTTTCTTGTTGTTTTTATTATGCTTCGCCAACAGGTGAGCGTCATCTTCAGCTATATTGGTGTCAGCATCGTGCTCTTCTTTGTCTCACGCTTCTCACCCAATGAATGGCGTCGTGTGCAGCAGCCGCTACAACAAAACCAGCTAACAGGTAAGAATTACCCATATATATATATATGTATATATGAATATATGTTTGTATGTGTGTGCTTTGAAATTTGAGATGTTGTTAGATAGGAATGGAAATTAGCTGAAAGTAGCTTTAAGCAGCCTGTTGAGATTGAAGACGTCATTCATTTGAAATATTTTGTGATGGTTATAAACAGAAATTTTCAGATATGTTAGATAAGAAGTTAGATGTTTTCATTGGTTGTTAAGCAGGTAAAAATTATGACAAAATTTAGCTATAAAATTTAGCTATAAATAAGCTGCCAACTCTTACGACTTTCTCTTAGAGCTTTCAATAAAATAGGTTAGCCTAAATATCTATGGCTCACATATAGCTGATGTATGAAATATCTTTAAATATTTATTCTGGTAAAGTCGTAAAATAGGGTGGCTTAGGGACTACAAGTAGCCAAAAACAAGATATTAAAATATTTAAATAATTTAAGGCAACATAAGCGAAATATAAGTACGTCGCCTCCAACACTTTTATTGATATTTTATGAGCTGGTAGCTGGAAAAGCCTGGGAAACTCTGGAAAAACGCGCTATGCGTTTTTTTTTTTTTCGTGAAGAGACTTTAAAAATTACTGTAGCAGCTGCATAACTTGGAGGGGCTTGGTTTTTTTTTGCATATGTTCCGGTATAATTCAATTATGTGATTCAATTTGGTTTGCCGGCTGGCTGGTTGGATGTTTCGCATTTGGTTTTTGGCAATCAAAATCCAGAGAGAGCGTAGGTCACATACATATGAGACCGGGGCAGACAATAACAATCTATTGGCATCCTGCAAAACATCCTTAATGTAATTTTAGCGGAAAGTAAACAACATTTTGTATGCAAGCAACGTGTTGCCAGACACAGACACACAGTGCAAAATAAAAATACAAAATAAAAACCACATAGAACATGACGAAGAAAAAGAGGTAGAAGAAGAGGAGCAGGAGCAGGAGCAGGAGCTGGAGCTGGAGCTGGAGGTAATAGGAGAGTGACGAGTGCAAAATAAAAACTGGAAATGCGAGTGCATGAAAATGTTCAGATATGACAGACCGAATGCCTGAAGCCATTCACTAGTCAGAGGCCGTCACTGGCAGCAATTGAAGCAAATGACAGCAGCTGGCGGTAGAGATGCCAGAGGAGCCTCCACAGCTGTGGACAGCAGGAGGATGAGCGCAGAAGGCCAAAGCCAGTAGAAGCTTTGGCTATGCGCTTGATTGCATATCAATTAGAGCAGGCGCAAAAAGTCAAGCCAAACGAAATGATTGACAGTTGCCAGTTGGACAGCCAACACGAGTGCCAGTTGAACAACCTAGATGTGTGTGTGTGTGTGCTACATATGTATGCAGGATATGTTACGTCTGTCTGTCGATAAGGACAACTGACTTGTTCAGCATAGTTTTGCGTGCTGCGGCTCAGTGTTGGCATAATATGCATATATTACAAAATAGCTAGAAATGGATTGATTTATGAGAGGCAAATCGAAGGCTAAAAGGGCAATGGGTAGAGCATGTAGTTGGGCATATCTGTTCTATGAGTGAAACAGTTTCTAATCTAGTTTTAAATGCGATTTGGCAAAGTTTCTTTTAACTAACCAATATTAACTAAAAAACTAGCTATAAAACTAGCTATATTTAAAAATGCCTAAAATATCAAGGAATTTATAGTTTAAGTGGAATAATTAGCTACTTGAGGCACTCTCAGGCAAATTCTAGCTAAAATCTAGCTGTAAAATCTCCTAATTAAGGCATTATCAATAAGAGCCATGCCTTTAGCTGCATAATAGTTTGCTTACTTGTCAGCACTGTTGCGGTTACAATTTGTGGCCTACTCACAAACTTTACCCCGCTGAAACTCACTTTGCACCGTTTTCACTCACTCTCTCTCTCTCTCTCTCTCTCTCTCTCTCTCTTTCTTTCTATCTGCTTCGCTTACAGATCCACATGCACATCACGAACAGCTTGCCAATCAGCAGCCACCCGGCATCATTGGCGGCGCACCCATACCCCCGCCGCCCGGCCCACCGACACCGGGCGTCCAGACGTCTGCCGCTCTACAGGCATCTCTATCTGCTGCTGCTGCTGCAGCCTCTGGCAACATGGGCCTTGCATCTGGCACAGCGGGCAGCGCCTCGTCCGTCAATGAGTTTAGCATTTGGAATTCGTTTTGGTATTCGTTGTCCGCCTTCATGCAGCAGGGCTGCGATCTGTCGCCTCGCTCTGTGTCGGGTCGCATAGCAGCTGCATCCTGGTTCTTTTTTACGCTCATACTTATCTCATCGTATACCGCAAATTTGGCTGCCTTTCTTACCGTTGAGCGCATGGTTACGCCCATCAATTCGCCGGAGGACTTGGCCATGCAAACGGAGGTCCAATACGGCACACTGTTGCACGGCTCCACCTGGGACTTTTTTAGGGTAAGTCTGTACGAACTTTTTGACTTTTGATAATTCGCAATTATCAGCTCATGTGAGCAAAAAGTCGAGTGTGTAGGGATTGAGCAGTTAATTTTGGTGTGTTGAGGCTTAAAAGTGGTTTGAGCAAGCTTTGTTATCGATAACATATGACAGGTGATTTTAGACCTATTAGGATTATATAGTTAAATGTATAATTACACATTTAGTTTAGCATCTTGTTATTTATGATTTTAATTAATTGATGTTTTCAAGTTTAGCAGCTTGCAATACCTATCGATAACAATAGACATAGAAGTGAGATTGAAATTACAATGCAGAATTTATGATTTGTTGAGCTCAACAGCTTTTTCTTGAATATAGATTTATTGACATTTAATAGACAGTTTTAGCATACTTAAAATACTCTTATACTTTTCGATATATATCGAAACGATGTAAAACATTAATTGCCTAATTGCCTAGTCCACATCATACGGTGCTTGCTTTATATTTCTGTTAAATTGGCCTTTAATATTCCAAAATTCATTGTAATTGTTATAAATACTCGACAATTATAATAAACACTCGCTCCATTCCTTCCCGCAGCGCTCCCCCATTGGCCTGCACAATAAAATGTGGGAGTATATGAACTCGAGAAAGCATGTCTTTGTTAATACCTACGACGAGGGCATTCGACGAGTGCGCAATTCCAAGGGTAAATACGCTCTGCTTGTGGAGTCGCCAAAAAATGAATATGTAAATGCTCGAGAGCCCTGCGACACAATGAAAGTGGGTCCCAATATGGATACAAAGGGATTTGGCATTGCCACGCCCCTTGGCTCAGCCCTCAAGTAAGTCCAAGTACATATATGTATAAATGCTGAATCGGGATGCATCATGCTCCCAGAATTTATTAGACTCGACATTCAAGCCAACATTGATGACGAAAAAAAATCATCGTTACCTATTTGCAGAGATCCCATCAATTTGGCTGTGCTGTCGCTCAAGGAGAATGGAGAGCTGATTAAGCTGCGCGACAAATGGTGGTACGATAAAACCGAATGTAATCCCAACAAGGACAATCGCGAGGCATCGCACAATGAGCTCTCGCTGAGCAATGTCGCTGGCATATTCTATATACTGATTGGTGGCCTGCTTGTCTCCGTATTCGTCGCAATTATTGAGTATTGCTTTCGCAACAAGGCAAACAGTGCGGCCGGCAATCTTGGGGGCGTTGGTGGCAGTGCGGCCAAGAGCAACGGCTCGATGTTATTGCGACCGGCGAGCGCTGTACCCGGCGTGGGCGTGGCATCCACACATCAAAGGAACACACTGACCGACACAATGCATGCCAAGGCTAAATTGACCATTCAGGCGAGCCGCGACTACGACAATGGACGCGTGGGGGTGAGTTGATATCACAATGTGTTTATTTTCTCTATATACCCTGTAATTGTTGAAAGTGCGCGCTGCCTGGTTACAGTTGACTTTTTCTACTTTGGGGAAGCAAATGATAAAATTATATAAAAACTATCGATAAATGTGTATAACCTGTTCGATTAGCTGCTTTTTGTGGAGGGTTTATAAAAAGTTAGGTCCTGAATGGATTAGGAAAGATTTTTATACATTATCGATAAATATCGGATTAAAGTTAGGATAAGAGATTAAATCAAATAATAAGTAAAATACACTTATTATCCATCTCAATCCATTTTTCTATATCGGATTATATAAGATTGCTCTGCAGTACGGAGTAATCGATATATATCAAGCTTTAATTATTGATATTTGCATGCAATTTACAATGGGCCTTACGAAATGATGAAATTGAATGTACCGTAGACATTACGTAACTCTCACAACAATAGCAAACAAATTACAGGGTATCGCCATGTCAACCCCTAGCAGCTATAGCGCTTTTAATTTGAGCTGTTGGGGCTGTGTTTTATGTGCTTAATTATGTGGTCAGCGATAATGTCTAACCGACGCACAGTATCTCAATTGCACTTCTTTGCAGTACTATCCACCTGCCCAGCTGTCGGGGGCGCCCGCCGATGGCGGCGAGGCGCTCCACATGAACGCACACGGTCAGGTTTGACATGAGCATGTGCAGGAGTCGCGTCTCTGACGCACACCCTGCGCGCCCACCATACGACGCATAATGGCGAATAGCCGCCAGGAGACGGAGAAAATGATGGCTGGCTGTGCCGGCGGCGGCATGGGCATGGCCAGTGGTGGCAATGGCAGCGGCGGCGTCGGCGTCGGGGGTGGCGGTAGCCATGAAGGCAGCATAACCCTCTCGCCGGTTAACGGGCAGAACGCGACTCTAATGCGTCACTCGCCGGACATAAAGAAGCATCCGCAGCACGCCCACCCTTATGACAAGTAAGTGAAGTAGATGTAATACTAAGCGAACCCTAGTTAATAAGTACCCAAAAAAATAAGTATTATATAAAAGGAGCTCATTAAGTGTACTCAGAAAAAAAAAAAGAAAAAGAAAAATTATGTCTATAAAAACGTAGCATTCAAAAAAAATGAAAATGAAAATCATGTATTCAGGGAGCGCACACAGAGAGAGAATACTAGAAAAATATTTCTACGAACTTGTCAAAATTTCATTATAAATAATTCAAGGCTTCATATGCATTGAAAATTCCTTAATTGAATATATCAATTACAGCATTCCATATATTATACATATATGGAAAATATATGTGAATAGTTTCTCTTTTAATAACTGCAAAAAGCATTTTTTAATAAATTTTACTCAAAGCGTGAAGCCAGCGGCGCACAAAAGTAGGCCATATTATTTATGGCAACACATTGGGGTAGAGTTGAGCGCGTGTCGTGTTTATTCATGCGTGATAAAGGCGATGATTATGCATTGATTTATTATTACAAGTATTATGATTATGTATATTACAATATATTTAATTATTGTTATATTATTATATTATATTATATATTATTATATATTTTTAAAATATTTTTATTATGATAATCAATATAATTATTATTATAATTTAATTTTTTCATTACTAATTCTTATTAACTTTAATTATAATTATACTTTCGTTAGTGACAAAAAGTAAAATATTTATGATTTTTCATTATTATTATAATTATCATTATGAAAAATCATTTCATTTATATTTACATTAAACAAACATCGCATTCGCTCTCTCATCTCTTGGCCGTAAATAATTGCAGTTGGGCCATCAGTTGGCCAAGTTCTTATTTAGCCTGTCAGCAAGTGCAATGCAAATGAATGGGCATAAATTATTGCATTACTGTTAACAGTCAACGGGAGGGGGAGATAGGAGTGTGGGGGCTTGGGTGAGGCGTAATGAAAAACCTTAAATACTATTTATCGTATATGTGTGCGACGTACTATACACATATACATACATACATACATATATATATGTATATGCAGCAATTCATTGCATTCAAATGACTGATTAATATTTTTAATAAACAAACAAAATGAAATATATAAATAACATTACATGAGCTCAATAGCAAACAAGTAAAAAAATAATAATAAATATAAAAAAATAATGCGACGCAAATATGAAGAAAACATAGCTGAAAGTGTGTTCATATAGCTCTTTGATAGAATATGTTGTTGCATATTTGTTTATAATTAAATTACAGAAAAATATATAGCAAAGTAAATAATAGCCATAAAAATAATATAAAAAGTAAATATATCTGGAAAAAAATGGAAACAAAAAACGCGCATTGAATTGCGATGATAGCTCAGTAAAAATATTGTAATAAATTAATTAGCGCAAAGAAAATAATTTAAATTGTAGTCGAAAAAGTCGAATCGAAAAAGACACAAAAAAAAAAGAAACTTTGGTATACCGAAGACTAAATGCCCTTGTAGGTGAAGATTTATTATATTTATTTAGATTTTTGCTAGATTTATAATATAAATTATCCGAATTTCTCGCTCATTTTAGAATCAGGCAAAATATTTATAAAAAGATCATTATATAATTATATAATTTCTCCATCAGAGTTCTCTTCTTTTATGCGTTACATATCTCATATACTAATTGTCATACCCTCTGCAAGAGTATTTAAAATGTGTGCAGTGAGGCCAGTAAATTTTAATTAAATTTATTTTAATTGAAATCGTTTTGATTTGATTCGCTCACAAATAACAAATGGGCGACATTAAAAAAAAAATGAAACGAGCAAATTGTTGATTTAATAAATACTAAATTGAGAAGCTATTCTTTGGTATTTATTTTGTTATGTTATTATTTATTGAGCGAAGGCCTGAATGAATGAAGCGAAATAAGATGAAATTAGTTTATAAGGCAAATCAAATAACAACAACAACAACAACTGCATACTTCCGCATCTAGTAAATATAAATGTATAAATAAATTAGATTTAATTCAAAACGTTCATAGTATTAAAAACTCTTTTGCAAACACACACACACATATATATAAACATATGTGCAGGTCAATAGTGTATATAAATATATCGTATATAGTTGCCATAATGAAAAAGGAAAAACAAAAAATT